GGGTTTAATATTTTTCCTAGAACTTTTTTTTTTTTTTTTTTTTTTTTTTTTTTTTTTTTAAAAAAAAAAACACAAAAAAAAAAAAAAAAAAAAAAAAAAAAAAGAATGTGCATATTTTTACTTTAGAAAAGTATGGTAAATGTTTGGAAGAAAAATTTTGTCACTAAGTTTTGGCTTTATGATTAATGTGATCGGTGCGTGACAGAGAGCCCCCAATTCATCAAGCCCATATTCTAGCTGTCTGCTGTTTTGCCGGTATCAAATTTATCTAATTACATGAACATTGCACAGCAAATTAAGTGTAGTATCATTTGTTGCTAACTATGGGGTCTTATTATCTGCCTGCTGCATTATGTCAAAGGTTTGTTTCCCAATTGCTCAATGTGACATGGCAGTGCATTCCCCTTCATCACTATTTGCATTTGGCCTAATAAGAACATACGTTATTTTATCCTCACTGGAAGGAACTCATCTGCAAGGCTCTCTTGAGCAGGACCACCTGTGGGACCCTTTTCTTGGCAACATGCTTGGGAATATTCAAAATTCAAATAATAAAAGACCCGCATGCCAAGATGGGGGCCTAAAAGATTTACTGCATTTCTGCTCACTGTTGTCAGTCTTTATCTATCACTCCTTCCCTTGTTAAACAGGGAAATAATTTTCAGAGCTTGAGCCTTCTTCCAAATCACTGAGCATTTATTGTGTACATCCAGAAGCAGGTCATGTTGGTATCGGTCTTGAAACATACTTCTAGAGATTTTTTTTGGGGGGTAAAATAGTGTTTCTCCATTCATTAGGACAACTCACTTTTCTGAATAACCTCCGCTTTTTTTGCCTATTTGGTGAGACACTACTCTCTCCTTTTTTGACATCTTTGTTTTTTGTCTTTAAGAAAAATTTAGCAGAAATATGGTGCTTGCTTGACTAGTGTAGAAAAATAAAGTATCTCATTCGGCTCTCTGCAGTGCAAACCAACAGGAATATTGTGGATTCAAGGCATTGTCCTGGATTCTGATGCTTCTGAGCTTGAGGTCTTATGGAGGATGGTGGGAGAGAGAGGATTGGAGCCCAGTGGACACTGAGAAAGGATGTAACACAGAATAGAGTAAAACTGAGTGTGGGATGAAATCTCTTCCAGGACTGTAGAGTTAGAACAGCATGAATAAAGGAAATTGTATTGGTACCTATATCTTTTATGAGGTAGCACTTCCCCTAAGCATCATTGTTTAATAGTAAGGTTGCAAAATACAGAACTCAAAAGCTAAGAAATGACACAAAAATAAATTTGCAGATTCTGACTAATCTTTTATGCCACTGCGTGCACAGCCACATACTGTTTTTGCCTGGGATCCTCAGCTCTCCCGCAGCACGGGATGGCCCAGGCTGTGTGGAAGAGCAATGGTGGGTGTTACACGCATTTTCTGCATGTAGCTTTTATCGATTTGTCAGAATTTCACTGTGCACTGTTGGTTGTAGGCAGAACATAGATCAGTGTTACCAGAGCAGAAGCTTCAGCAGGTTCAAAGCTGAACTAAATTCACTTCATACGGTAGAGCAGGTCCTTTTTTAACAAAGGGGATATTTCACATTTTAGTGAGCTGCTTCAGAAAAGCTTACTCCGCTGGGGCCCAGTCTCTGCAATAACTCCCTCCACTTTAAACCAAGGGGGCTCTTAGCATCAGCTTTGTGAGATCAAGCCCTTGACTACAGAGGAAAGCTGCTGGCAGAGACGGCAGGTGATTACAGATAGCTCCCTTCCACTCCCCATTTTTAGGTGTGCTTAGCTACTCTCAACTTTTTTTTGTTTTCTTTAAGCACAACAAAAATAACTAAAAACTCCTTAGCTCAGCTTAAAAGTCCCTGCCAATGAAAGAGCCTTCAGGGCTAACCCTTGTAAATAGCATGCCTAGGCTTGACTCAGCAAGAAGCTTTTTAACAGTAGCTCCTAAACTGTGGTTAAAACCCATCAGGCATTACGCAGTGTA